CCCCAAAAAAAATTCTGCGCGATTTTACGGGTAGATTCTATGATGTATTCTGAATATACAGAATCTGTACGTATGTTAAGATTTGCACGTTTTCCGTGCGGCAAACGCCATATGTGAATGGAGCCTAAACCTCAGGTTTGGCTGGGGAATCCTCTTTGGAAAAGTGTTTTTTTTTTTACCTTACCTCTTTTAGGTGTGTGTGTGTGTGTGTGTGTGCGCGCGCACACATTACCCTCCCCTCCTCTTTCCATTCCAAGGTCTTCGCTTAGATGGAAGAACAGTGGCTAAAAGCGCTCCGGAAAGCTTTCTCTCCCATGAGAGGGGATACAGGGAGTGTGGATGCTGCAGGGAGGGGGAGGAAAGGGTGGAACAGTCAGAATACAGGAAACCATGTGGCAGGGTCGCTTCATGGGCCCCAGCTGATGTGAATGAGAGCATTGACAGAAGCAAATTAGTCAGGCTTGTAGAGTCCTGTCACGAAAATGACAGTGAAAAATACACGGGTCCTCTGTCTCTTTTTGTAAAAATGATCTTCTGCTAGTTTGACGCTCTTCTCCTTTCGAGTTCCGTGAAATCTGTAAATTTCCTCTTTTATGCGTGTGAATCATTTTTCTCTATATAGGGAAGCTGGATGTTAACTTCTCACTCTCAGACTTTTGTGTGATTTTTTTTTTTTTCTTTTATTTGTGAGAGATGTGCATTTCTTTTTACACGTTTTCATAGTACAGAAGAGACACTGTAAGGGGTAACAAACCTTCTGGAGCTTACAATTGGTTTCAATGTTTTTTTTTTTCCTTCTTGGGGCCCTCAAGTGATTGCATTTAACGTCTGTGTTGTGGAAATATGACTCAAGTCTTAATGAACGCCAGGGCAGTGTGGAAAAGGCAAAATGATGACGTCCAAAAAGGAGTGGCTTTTCTTCTCTTCTTGCGAGTTGTGATTGGAAATAATGCACATTTGAAATAAGGGGGCTCTCTTTCAGACGGGATATGGTGAAGACTTCTGTAGCAGTGTCTCAGATTTCACTTCTCAAACAGGTCTCACTCTGGATGTGAAAAAGGATCCACTGAATTTGCCTCTTCTTTTTTTGTGTGCCTACGGATGAGATGTTGAAGTCACTTCTGGACAATAACTTGTGTTGTCTTCTTTTGCCGGGCTTTAGTACACTTCCAGAGTTTGTTTGTACATTGGTACCAGCGAGGGGTTTGTCCGCAGTGCTGCCGTAGTTTATTTGCCTTGCTTCTTTTGCATGCCCTCAGTGTGTATTGCTTGTTATCTCAGTGGGGAAAATGCTCGCTTTAGTCCAGTCGTGGAAATGTTTTTCCTGTCAGGGAAACAAGTGATGTTGTGGCTTCTAACTTTCGAGCTGGATCAACAGTCTATTCTCACATGTGTAGTCTCCAGTTAGCAGTGCTCTGACTGGGACTGTCTGGACTTTCTCTGGACACTTTCTTTGAGAGTCAGAAGAATGTACGAGAGGCACAAAAGACGATACAGCCTGTGCGACATCTCCAAAGTCGACAGAACTGTTGATGTGGTGCTGATTAAGGTAACTTAAAGATATTTTGTTTTCTTCAAAGTATTTGGGTGCTAATGTTTTTAGAATAAAAATGTAAAGACGCTTGATGTCTGATAGAAGATCATTCTGTATTTCCTATAGCAACCGTGCTGTCCCTTTCATGCTGCTAGTCCAGGTTAGAAAATCAAACACTCAATGGTTGCTGTGATCAACCCAGACAGTTCATCTTGTAGACTCTGTTTAAGTGTTCCTCAAGCATCACATTCTATTTTCCAGTGTGTTACAGTCACAGGTGACCGAACGACCGTGAAGTTTTAAGTCATGCACATGCAATCAATTACTTAAAGCTGTATTTTGTTTGGGAGCTTTGGGTTACTACACGCACCTTGTTGTTTATGTTAGGTTAATAGTCAGGTTGTATGGCTATGATTAGTCATGTGGCTGGCCTGTTATTCATTAGCAACCTACAACTCAGCTTCGTTATCAGGAAAGGTGACAGACCTTGTTTCTTTTTTTCTTTGCCGTGCAGATTAATGTTTACTTTTGGACGTGGGAGAGAGATCCAGCTACCTGCTATATGTGTATATACTGTTTTGTATCTGTAACTTTTATTTGCAAAATAAAACCTTCAGATTTGACTTCATAAGTTGCTGATTTTACCGGATGTGCAGCAGTTTTATAGAAATCTCCCAGTATGAAGCTGTCTTATTAATGCTGTGATTCATCCCTCTGCTAAATTTAGCGAGTCCTGAGACAATCAATTGCAGTCTGGGAATGTTCCAGTCGTAACGGTTTTGGGAACCTGGCAGTGTTTCTGGCATGAAACATATAGGGCTTTGCTGTAGTGCCAACAGCCTGTCATATAAACCATATGCTTGAGGTATAGGAAATTCACTGTCATTTCTGTGGCATTCAGTTGTAAGTGGCTATTCGGTTCATTAATCTGAGGATGTTTATTTTTATTTTGCCTGAGCTTTGTATTATATTGTGTGCTATGTGGTCTTCCAGACATTGCATGCTACAATGCCGGCAGGGAAACATAAACGTATTATTTTGAGATTTACAGACCAATCCGTATTTTGGTTACTGTTGCTGATACCCTTAGCTGAAGGTAGCAGCTATGTGCATTTGCCTTAACTTTGAGTTCCCTAAAAAGCTGCTTAAATGGCTATTCCCCCGTAGCTTGCTATAGCCACACATAGCACATGCTGGGCATAGAGGGGCCACGCTAGCACTAGTGTTTGGAGCAAAGCCTGGGTTATAACACTAGCTTAGTGCTGATAGGCTGATGCAGGTTGTTGACTGTGTATCCCTTCTTCCTGGTGATGTTTCCCAGCCAATCATGTGCTAGTCTAAAGAGCCTGCACAGCCAAATGGATGTTTTCATATCATTGTGCATGCAGAGGGTCCTATGACTGACTACTTTATCAGGTAACAGAAGATGCATTTTATCTAACAGGACCCTTGATGACTGCTCTCTAAGGATAGCAGGAAAAAGGGAAAACTGAATCTATAATTTTGCTTGATCTTCCTGGAAGCTACATTGCCTTAAAATTATTCAGGTTTCTTAAAATGGGGTTGTAGATGAAATATTGCATAGCCATAAACACTCCTCAGCCACCAGATTAAGTACACATAACTTTCAGTACTTTCTCATTTGACACCTCTTTACTCTTGGGGTTGATTTTAAGAGTACTGTTAGAACATACACTATATTGTCAAAAGTATTGGGACACCCCTCCAAATCATTGGGTTCAGGTGTTCAGTGAAATTTCCTTGCTACTAAATATTCCACGGCCAGCTGTTAGTGGTATTATAACAAAGTGGAAGCAACTGGGAACAACAGCAACTCAGCCATGAAGTGGTAGGCCACGTAAAATGACAGAGCGGGGTGAGCACATGCTGAAGAGACTAGAAGTCGCCAACTGTATGCAGAGTCAATAGCTACAGACCTCCAAACTTTGTGTGGCCTTCAGATTGGCATAACAACAGTGCGTAGATTGCTTCATGGAATGGGTTTCCATGGCCGAGCAGCTGCATCCAAGCTTTACTTTACAGAGTGCAATGCAAAGCATCGGATAGAGTGGTGCAAAGCGCGCTGCCACTGGACTCTAGAGAAGTGGAGATGTGTTCTCTGGAGTGACCAATCACGCTTCTCAGTCTGGCAATCTGATGGACGTGTCTGGGTTTGGCGGTTGCCAGGAGAACGGTACTTGCCTGACTGCATTGTGCCAAGTGTAAAATTTGGTGGAGGGGGATTATGGTGTGGCGTTGGGCTTGGCCACTTAGTTCCGGTGAAGGGAACTCTTAAGGCATCAGCATACCAAGTAATTTTGGACAATTTCATGCTCCCAACATTGTGGAAACAGTTTAGGGATGGCCCCTTCCAGTTCCAACATGACTGCGCACCAGCGCACAAAGCAAGGTCCATAAAGACATGGATGAGTTTGGGGTGGAGGAACTTGACTGGCCTGCACAGAGTCCTGAGCTCAACCCGATAGTACCCCTTTGGGATGCATTAGAGTGGAGACTGCGAGCCAGGCCTTCTCATCCTACATCAGTACCTGACCTCACAAATGCGCTTCTGGAAGAATGGTGAAACATTCCCATAGACGCACTCCTAAACCTTGTGGACAGCCTTCCCAGAAGAATTGAAGCTGTTATAGCTGCAAAGGGTGGGCCAACTCAATATTGAACCCTACGGACTAAAGGGGCCCATACACCTTACAATTATCTGCAGATTTTCTGTGGTCAGATGGAAAAAGTGCAACAGATTGGCCCAGGTGGAGATTACTCCATCCACACAGTTAAGTGTAGATGGAGGAATCTGTTGCACCTTTTCCATCTGACCACAGATGGAAAAGATGCAACAGATTCCTCCATCTACAGTTCATATGCGTGTAAAGGCAGGTGTCCCAATACTTTTGGCAATATAGTGTATGCAGATCCATTCCAAATATAGTAAAATACATTAAAGGAATTTCAGCATATATGGATCAAGATTGTTGTGTAGATGACTGACCAAGAGTGGTTGAATGCTTTACAAATGCCCAACCATAGTCTTAAAACTATAGACACCTTTACATTGTAGGTGAAAGTGTGGGACCAAGCCTTCCCTCTGGTGGATTTTAGAGTGACCACAGGCTTACTGATGAATCCAGGCACTTAATGAACCTTTTCTACATGCTACATAGAGGTTAAGTAGAATGATTGCAAATGCAGGACATACTTTTTATCACATGCATGTATTACCCGTGTTGGAAGGTCTGTTTAGCTTATAGACAGTTCTCTTTTATCCATTGAAAATGTAACTGTCTTCACATTACTCATGCTAGGCAAATCTCTGCTTTTGGTGAAAGATTTGCTTGTCTATGGCCACCGTTATTCAGAAAAGTCTTAAACACCTATGACATTGCTCTAAAAAGCTAAATAGGCCTTTAGTTGTATGACACACACCCACCATTGGCTTTACCTACGCAGCTGAATAGCCCAAGCTTTTGGGCAGTAGGCAAACATGTTATTTCCCTGTCTCATTCCACAAGGCAGTGTGTCTGAGTGACCAACTACAAGACCTGATCAGTTTCAAGTGTGGAGGAGGTGGCAAGTTTTGTGCAAATGACTTACAGTTAATGATGGCCAGGGAAGCTAATGGTTACATGTGGCACCTGGGGGCACCTGTTTTGCAACTAGATGCTTAGTCTGTGTTTTCAAACAACCTCATAGGTGTACATTGAGGGTCTTTTAATTGTGCTTTTTTAGTATGTACATTCGGCTTACTCTTAACAGTTGGGCACCAACAATGTCAGTTGCACATTGTCTCTGTAAAATGTAATGATCAACAGGTAATGTGATGTCAAGGCTTATATGCTTCAAGTCTCACAATAAATGCTGACAAATGTTTTCCCTATAAACATTTTGTTGCTGGCTTTGTGTTTTTTGTATTTCTGGATATTTCTTGTATCTCTGGAAAGAGTTTTCTGTTGACTGTTGTGTAATCCTATTTCCAGATTAACAGAGAAAACTGCTGTTCACTAACTCCATGTCCACACATGGTTCTTCTGGAATCAAAGCAGACAAGTGATTCTAAAGGTGAGTTCACCATTCATGTGAGCAGAAACAAACTCTCCTCTAGTGAGTAGCATGTGATTTGTGTTCTAGCAGTCACATTAGTGACTAGAAAACAAGAAGTATGTGATCAGTGGGAAATTACAATGTTTTGTGATATTGAAAGTATATCATGTGCTGTAAAGATCTTTCTCTAAAATCTATAGCAGTAAAGATATTGGAAGGGGTTTTCCTTGTTGGGTAGAAAATCTCTTTGTTTGTCTCGTGATTGTAACCGTATCCATACTTTATCAGCTAGTTAAAAAAGCATAATGCTGGATTTAGAAACCTCTGACTTTTTAAATGTGTAATTAAGGCCTAATATGTGTAGAACCAAAAAAGGCCAAAAACTTCAGAATCCTCCAGCATGCTTGCAGCAAGTTTTACTGTGTGAGACATATGCCTGGTGTTGTTAAAGTGAACCTGAACTTTTAAAATGAAGCACACCTCCAAAACCGTAGGACTGCCTCCTACCCCAAGTCTTACACTTAGCTGCTCCCCCTCCTCCAAGACCTTTGCCATGTGGCCCTCTGAGAACATATCAGCTGTTTTAAAAGTCTACCCCCTGGGTTCTACTACTTTTGCAGATATGCACCAAAATCTCAATTTATTCATATGAAATGGTCATTTATCTTTCATGCAAGTGGTGGATGGGTTTTCATATGAATGAGTAGAGTTAGTGGTGCACATGAATGTAAAAAGCAATGCCTGGCCAGGAGACTTTCAAACCCTGTGGACTACACATTGAGGATCTCAGAAGAACGAGGACAGATAAGTGTAAAGCTGGCCATACACCTATAGATTATTTGCAGATTTTCTATGGTCAGATTGAAGAAGTGCAACAGATTTCTCCATCTACGCTAAACTGTGTGGACGGAGGAATCTCCCACTGGGCCAAGCTTCAGTATCTTGCTAGTCGGTTCCGCTGGCTCTCGAAATACCTGAGCCACTGAAGCTTGGCCCAGCGGGAGATTCCTCCATCCACACAGTTTAGCGTAGATCGAGGAATCTGTTGCACTTTTTCCACCTGACCATAGAAAATCTGCATATAATCTATAGGTGCATGGCCAGCTTAAGACTTTGGGTAAGGAGAGGGTGGTCATATGAAGGATACCTGTACTAAACATATAGTTATCCATTAGGTGAACATGTTGATCTGTACAACATGGACAAAGCACATGTTCACTTTAGTAAGAAAATATGTCTTGAAGACTTTGTTGACGACTTTTCCAAAAGCAATCCTTTTGTAGGACATAAATTATTTGTTGAGACAGGGAGTAACAAAAAGTTGGCAATTTACAGAAAGCCAATAATATCACATGTATGAGGCCTTCTTCAACTTCTGCTTTGGTAATGTTGGTTATAACTCAAATGACTTTAAATTTTGTTCTGTGCAGAGTTTTGTTTTCTAAATCACTGTTCTGGTGAAGCCATTGTTGCCATTTTTCTCACACGAGGCCTCTTCCTGTCCCTCACTCTGTGTACTTCCATTTACTGTATGGCTCGTGATTATCATGACGATTCTGGAGGTTCCTTGTGAATTTTCCACAGGAGTGTGAACTAACTGATTATTTACAGCCCGTTTTTCTGCCTATTACCAGAAAGACTCGTCTGTTAATGTGCCAGCATCTGGCTGTGTGCTGAAAAAGACATTGCAGGAAACAATTGGACACAGCTAGACTTAAAGGAGAACTATGGGGTTAAGGCTTTTCCCCATAGTTCTCCTTAGGGTAACGGGAGGACACAAACTAGCGTCCTCCCGTCACCCTAAGCTCAGTATACCGCAAGCTACTGCTCGCGGTATACTGAGACGCCGCAGCTGAAGCGAATCCGCCCAGCTGCGTGAGTGACAGCTGGCTCTGCCTATCTAGAGGCGAAGCCAGCTGTACCCTCCCCCTTCCGATCCGCCAGTCAGCGCTGGCGGATCGGAGCGGGGAGGGGGCGGGTACAGCCCCTCCCCTGTCACGGCAGAGAGCTGTGACAGGATCAAGAGGTGAGCGAACGCTGGTATGTGTTCGCTCACCTCCCGATCTACTGAGCCGACCTGTGACAGTCTCATTGTCACATGTCGGCTAGAGCTATGAGGTGAGTGAAAAGCACTCACCTCATAGTTCTCCTTTAACATTTTGGTGAGGGCTATATTTCACTTATTAAAGCACGAGTTAGGAGGTATAAAGGTTTAGGAAAATGGCCGGTAGTTTAAAGACAAGCTTCACAGTTCGGAGAATCTTGTGAATGTGCCCTAGACTGACTATGGCACAGAGCGCCTATTGTCAAATTGCCAACAAAATGGTTACTTTTATGGTGCATCAATGACGGGTACACTTCAACTGAAGTCTTTGTATCTCGGGAGCAGTAAAAGCTGAGGATCATGGCACTGGGCATTCTTTTCTTGCATGGTGGTTCAGAGGCTGCTTTTGACCTACTTGACATACTGCTGCATTTGTTTGGAGGCTACTGAGGTGTGTTGATCTGAAGACAAAGCAGGTCAAATGCATCCCTTTTCTTGTCAAACATTGCATTTTCACTTGAATACAGCTGTATGCATTTACATTGAAATTGCAGCTTTTGAATAGAATGCCCATATACATGAACCCTTATATGTATTGTATTATAATATGGCTGCATCTATTACCATTTTAGCTGTGTTGTTGTTTTTTTGTTAAAGGAGAACTATGAGGTGAGTGAAAATCACTCATCCTCATAGTTCGAGCCCACGTGTGACAATGAAGCTGTCACACGTTGGCTCTATTGATCGGGAAGTGAGCAAACACATACCGTCCGCTCACTCCCCGATCATCTCCCTGCAGTGAGTGGTGACAGTCAGTCACCGCTCCCCACAGAGATTCCCCCTCTCCCCACTCCGATCCTCCAGCGGTGACTGGAGGAACTGGAGGGGGCGGGTACAGCGGGCTCTGCCTCTAGATAGGCAGAAGCGGCTGTCACTCACGCAGCTGGGTGGATCTTGACAGTAATGTCGGGATCTGTCACGGCTGCGGCGGTCTCGGTATACAGCGAGCTGTAGCTCGCGATATATTGAGCTTTGGGTCACGGGAGGATGCTAGTATATGTCCTCCTGTGACCCTTAAGAGAACTATGGGGAAAAACACTTACCCCATAGTTCTCTTTTAAGTAGATGATCTTCACATGTTATTGTCATGTTACTATATTAAAGTAAGATTAAATAATGTGTTTTCTTTCATTTTAGTCTGCCAGCAGTTTCTGGAGGATGGACTCGATACAGAACATTCATCACCTCCAACTCTGAAAAGGGAATCCACAAGTGAAGCTGATCTGTGTTATATGGCCCCAGAAGTGTTAGATGAAATGGTGTTTTCAAAGGTGATTCAATGTACACTTACATTACTAATGTTCTTAGAAGTGGAAACCCATTGTGTTTGTCATTGTGATGAATGCTAGACAGGCATTGTTTATAAGAATAGAGTCTAGTAACGTACATGGCAGATATCACAGTGGTTTGGCTTCATAGCTTATGGCGGGTTTAAATAGTAATTTGCCTACTTGGTTATATAATATAACATTCCTGTTTGAACTTGCTGTATGTTATGAATCCTTGAACACTGTGATCTGGGTTCCTGGTTAATTACTGCAACATTTGTGGCCTAATAATGATCATGTTTTCTAAAACAAAAGTGCTCAAACTTTGTTGGTGATCTTATTGCCTGTGCAACATATTCCTGGGGGTCTTTTTGCCATGACCAAGCAACATGTTGTAATTATACAGAAGAATTGCAACACAAAGGCAACAAAGGTAAATTATATTTAGGCTAACTTTACAGCTGTGCATTGTCTTAACATATGGTAAAGTTTCAATAGTCAGAATAGGAAACTGTAATAATGTCATTTATCTTTCTAACCTTAAACTGGCCATAACCTGCTCTAATTTCCAGAGTGAAGCAGTGTGTGGCCCCATCGGCACCTTCCATTTGACAAGTCGATTTTGTCAAAAGAGCCGGTTCACAAAATCTCAGCCAAACGGTGACTACAGCTAATCAGCTACAGTCACTGTTCAGGTATTCTGATAGCATGACTCCCGCCACTGTCAAAATACAATAGTGGGTGGGAGCACTTTCACCTTGCAGGACTAAATTAGAAAAAGCAATTAGTGTATGGCTAGGTTTATTCTTCTCCTTAAAGGACCTACTTCTGCAATATATTGTCTTGTATTTCCCTCTTCCTGGCAATCTGGGATTTACCCATAGACCTCTGTGTCTGACCCTTGGTACATGCAGAGTCAGATATAGGCCCACTGCTCCTAGAAGTACCCAAGGTGGACAAATTCCAAACACCAATTTGCTTTTCCAAAGTGCTATTGGTTACATTTATCTCTATGTGTGTTGGTATTTATTAAAGTAAGATGAAGCAGGCTATATCACTATATGCAGCATCGTATTTCATTAGTCACTACTAATGTCACTGAATAGTATGACAGTGTTGGCATTATGACGTTATTAATGGCCGGAAATCCTTGATATCCCTCTAATTAAAAATCTGGTGATTCTGTCACCTCATGGTCTGAATGACCTCAGTCTTCCCCCCGCTGAGATCCGATCTCAGCCCAGCTGAATCAGTTGTATTTATTCTCGTAGATACTGCACTGCCCATATTGTACCCATGTGCCAAGCTGTTTGAGCTGCAAGACATTTAGTCTGTACGTAGCTTACATGGCATTTTAATAGGCGTTGCAAGTATGACAATCTGGTAACTAGTATTTTTAAGTGCGCAAAGGCAGCCTACATATTTCCTACTGTACAGGCTTCCTCTAAATCAGGGATGTCAAACTCAATTTAAAGGAGAACTATGAGGTGAGTGCGTTTCACCCACCTCATAGTTCTAGCCGACCTGTGACAATGAGACTGTCACAGGTCGGCTCAGTAGATCGGGAGGTGAGCGAACACATACCGGCGTTCGCTCACCTCTCGATCCTGTCACAGCTCTCTGCTGTGATAGGGGAGGGGCTGGATTCCCCCCTCCCCACTCCGATCCTCCAGCGCTGACTGGCAGAATGGACGGGTGAGGGAGTGGGTACAGCTGGCTTTGCCTCTAGATAGGCAGAGCCAGCTGTCACTCACTCAGCTGGGCGGATCCAGACATAATTGTCGGGATCTGCTTCAGCTGCGGCGTCTCAGTATACCACGAGCAGTAGCTTGCGGTGTCTCAGTATACCGCGAGCAGTAGCTTGCGGTATACTGAGCTTAGGCTGACGGGAGGACACTAGTTTGTGTCCTCCTGTTCCCCTAAGGAGAACTATGGGGAAAAGCCTTAACCCCGTAGTTCTCCTTTAATTGTGGGCCGCATCAACATTATGGTTGCCCTCAAAGGGCCTGTAAGACTATATAAATGTATCTAATCTTTATCATAATTGCTTCTGCATTTGATTATCACTGGTTTTAGTAATAACTTAATACCTAGATCTGAAAGTAGAAGTGTAGGAAATGGCCTGGTGGGCATGATTCGGCCCCTGGGCCTTGAGTTTGACACGTGCTCTAAATGATCGAAAAGTTCCTTTTTTAGATGTTTGTCCAAAACATTTATTTTTTTGCCTAAATCTGTGTTTTTAGCACATTTGCTATAAATGAAATAACAGGAGAATCCCCTTTTTTCATGTTAGATGCAAAAAGCATGATCATATTCTGATATTTTTTTAGAATTATTAGACACGACATGAATCATAATACAAGGATAGATTCCCATTGCTATAATCTTCTGTAGAGAAAATGGTTACTTTTGCTTTGCCTAAGGATCAAGTATACAAAGAGAGCCCCTTATATATTCTTGTTCATTTGACACAAATTTTTGCTAAAAAAACAAAGATTGGACTGTCTTATTGGCCATCTTTGTGTACTTTGGTTCGCAGGTGTTTCTGTCGCCAACGGTCACATTTGTAAGCCTTCCATCCAATCACATTCTTGGCCACAATGCTTTCTTCTCTGTGATGTGTGCAGCCTCTGTTATCTTTTAATAAAGAAGATCTTGATATAATGTGTTTATTTATAAGACGTTAGTGTTGCCACTACAGCACGAAGCTTATTTCCTTTGGAGGAGTCTGTCCATTGTATCAGAGATTGCAACAGTGTTTCACAGGAGGATGAGTACAGGGTGAGATCATTTCCTTGTCTGTATGCTTCAGTCCTCTTCATTTCATTAGCAGTGTGAAGACTTTTTTTTCCCTTTTTGTTTCTCTTCTTCCACAAAGAAGTCTATGTGGCGGAGTAGTACAGATTAGTTAGTGTACAGTTACAGTCTATAATGGCAAACTTCTACTGAGTGGCACGCTAGAAAACACTTTGGCTTGTCATAGAACATTTGCACACCATTTTAGTACAGTATGTGACATTCATGTGATCTGTTTACAGTATGTTGGGTTTTTACTGCTGAATTTCTATTGCTGACAATATGGAGGCTGTTTAGAAACCATTTCTGCTATATGTTGATAATATTTATAAGTCAAGGTGTCTGCATGTTTTCTTCAAATCCATCATGGTGTCTTTTTTAAAGCCCAACTCTAGCCTAGGGTCTTGTTTTTTATAGGGTGGCAAAGGGTCAGAATGTCTGGATTTGTATTGCTGTCTGTGACTTCATTGGGCAGATTTTCCTTTGCTTATCCTTGTGAGACTGAAACCAGAAGTGAGGGCAACATTGTTATAGTAAACTAAACAAGAGTTCTTACCTTTACCCCCTCTATCTACTGAAAAAAATGTATATGCTCCTGTTTTCGACCACTTTCTGCAGGCATTGGTGAGGGGAGGGATGAGGAATCTGTAAAATAGGGATTGTGCTAAAAATCCAAAACCAGAAAACCATTTTGCCTGGAGTGATTATGTCCAATAAATAACCATGTAACAGATTCACTGCCAGCATTGTTCCATCAATTACTGGCAAAATGTTTTCAGAGCAACTTAGTAATGCTGGAAAAAAAGACCAAAGTTCATCAGTTCCAAACTTTTTTTTTTCCTTCTGATACCGTTCTTACAGTAAAGGTAAAGTGACTCTAAACTCAGGAGTTCAATCTTAAAAATGCATTCAAGTACCTTGTGTATCACTCGGCTGTAGATCCTCAAATTATCTCTGAAATCATACCGACACTGTCCTTCCTTCTGGAGGGACGCTACATTTTTTCCCCCCAATGGTTCCTGTGTGTGTTGTATAGTAGCCACCACTTTATTTGGTTTACTAATTTAGTATACAGATTCTACTGCATCACGGGAGTGAGCTTGGAGTGGTGACTCCTTTACAACACACACAGGGACCATGGGGAACAAAAGTAGCCACCCTCCAGAAGGAAAGATAGTGTCAGCACCAATTCAGAGATGGTTTGAGGATCTACAGCCGAGTGATACATAAATAAGATACATTTTTGTTGATAGTTAAAGGAGAACTATGGGGTCAGTGTTTTTCCCCATAGTTCTCCTTAGGGTAACGGGAGGACACAAACTAGCGTCCTCCCGTTACCCTAAGCTCAGTATACCGCGAGCTCCAGCTCGCGGTATACTGAGACGCCGCAGCAGGAGCGGATCCCGGCGCAGATGACGGGATCCGCCCAGCTGCGTGAGTGACAGCTGGCTCTGCCTATCTAGAGGCAGAGCCAGCTGTACCCACTCCCTCCCCCGTCCATTCTGCCAGTCAGCGCTGGAGGATCGGAGCGAGGAGGGGGGAATCCAGCCCCTCCCCTATCACAGCAGAGAGCTGTGACAGGATCGAGAGGCGAGCGAACCCGGTATGTGTTCGCTCACCTCCCTATCTACTGAGCCGACCTGTGACAGTCTCATTGTCACAGGTCGGCTAGAACTATGAGGTGAGTGAAAAGCACTCACCTCATAGTTCTCCTTTTAAGGTATTGAATGTATTTTTAAGATTTAACTCCTGAGTTTAGTTTAACTGTATTTTAGCCAGTAGCCAGATGCACAGATGCTATGGAAAATTAATAAATTCATTTTGAGCTTAGTGTGAAGCAACCCCAAATATCTCTTTTAGGTTTGAATGGAAAAGATTTAGAACCATTGACATTTTTTTATATTATGGTCAGTAATGTGTCAGAAAAAATGTTTCTTGCCTGGGCTTGAACATATTCATTGGGCCAGAAAATGGTGGTGGGGATGCAGGAAATAAGAATATGATGGGAGATTCCACGGAAAAGAAATATTTACATCACTGCTGGGAAGTTTCCCCTTACCTCCAGAGGTGTGAGGTCTACTTGGGTCTAGTAGTTCTGAATTATAGCAAGAAATGTAACCGTACATTATTCATTATTTGTTGTTTAACAATGTTTCCTGAGGATTTTGTATTGATTTAACACAGCGCACTTTTTGTTCATTCAGGGCTGTACAAATCCCAGGAGCCAGGTTTCAGATGCTCCTTAAAAATAACAGTTGGCATCTACGCTTGGAGGATTCCTCCACCTGTTGTCAATAGAGTTGGCTCCTAAAAAAAAAATCCTGCTGACCCCTGTATTGGGCAGACTGGCTGCTGATTCCATATTGATTTACCCTCCTCTGTATTAATTGCAAACAGCATTAAAACGAATTACATGCCCCTCACTTTCACTGTTGGTACTGAGATGGTCACAATTTTTTCCTGATCTGTTAACTTATTTGCCTTCCTACCAATAATCTGGAGAGGGGAAGAACTGAATATGACAGTTCTAATCAGTTAAGGACCAGACATTACTGATAAGTTTCATTTGGCTGCAGCATATTTCAGCCTATAATGTTTTCTTGTGAAGGTACCAAGTTCACTGACAAACTTTTCCTTATGTTTTTATTCCAGCTCGAAGAGGAACAGTCCTTGTGTGATATTTCTAGCTTAGGCTCAGATGATAATACTTCTTTAGAAAGAAACTCTTCCCATGGCAGTGACATTTCTATTCCCCATACATTAAGCCTGAAGAAGCAGAGAGACCGGCTCAGTATGGACAGCAGCTGTAGCAGCACAGTGACTGCATCTGTAGAGGAGCGGGAATGTGAGAACACTGAAGTGTCTGAGATGGAAGGGGAGGAGATGGACAACATCACAGAAGTGTCCCCTCACATCACTCGCTCTAAGAGCGCCATCCGCTCGGATTCCCCACACAGAAGGCACAGCTGGGAGCCATGGAAACACGCCCCAAGTGAAAGTGAAATTAGCCGCAGGAGGTAAGGGCATCATTTCTATATGGAACATCTTTTTGAGGCCTATGCAAATCGTGGTGCAAATATAATAACCTTTGAGAACAAATGTCCTCTCTGTCTTCTACAAATAAGACTGTAAAAAACTATTTCATGTGATGAATTACATGGGGGAGAAACGCTTATACCTTCCAAAATGACCCCTTCCATATGATTAAAAAATACCTGGGGGTAGGCAACCTCGGCATTCCAGCTGTTGTGGAACTACAAGTTCCACGAGACATTGCAAGACTTTGACAGCCACAAGCATAACTCCCAGAGGCATAGTGGGATTGGTAGTTTCACCACAGCTGGGGGGCTGAAGTTGACTACTTCTGCTCTACTCATTTTCTTAACAGATTTTCGGGAAAAGCGTATTATCAGGTAAATTGCCTTGAATTGTATTGTAATTGTAATGTCTTCCTTATATTAAGCGCTACGCAAACTGTTGGTGCTATATAAATCCTGTATAATAAAAATAATATAAATCCAAAAGCTAGAGGGAAGCCGAGGAGTGAATTGTTCTCTACCCTATGAAGAGGGTCATGAGGTTCATGTGAAGGCCTTAATCTAGATCATGCATGAAGATAGGTAGAAGAGTGCAAGAGTGATCAAATTCCAGCAAATGACCAACCACTGAACACTACTAGCTGAACAAAGCAGGACTTGCAGTGCTAATTGCTGTGGCTGATTAACTTTGCACATTGTCCTTTGCCATATTAAGTTACCCCCAAAATGTGAAATAAAGGGCAAGTGTTGGGTACTGTGCTTCCTTTTCTGTAGATTAGGAATGTTATTCTTTCAATCACTCAACACTACAGGTCTTGTTTTCTTTTCTCCTTTTTAAATAGGATCCAGTGATTTGTAGATATAACACTTATCAACTAAAGAGCCATATAAAAAAAGAAAAATGTTTTATATAAGATCTATTGTTAAGAAAAACAAACAAACACTTGTCAAGAAGATGTTAATATCATGCTGCTTGGCCTCTGTAGGGAAGCTATATAGTGTATTTTCAGTGTGTACATCTATTGAGCTGTATACTGAAATGATTTACGGTGGTATTTTGTGTACATAGTTGTTGCTACTTCCTCTAATGGCCATCTGTATGTCGGACTCTGCTGTTGAAATACCAGATTGTTTTGCATTACCTTTAGCAGACTCCTAAACTTGCACAGAGAGAAAACGCTAGAGCACAATAATTGTACAATGATGCAGGAAGCTCAATCTACATTTGTAATCAGCAAAAATGGCCGATTCCATTTTTTATGTAATGGAAAGCATAAATAGAAATGCTTGGCTAAAACAATAGTGCTTCAGTGGAGAATTATTTAAATTAATCTGACTGCAATCTTTAGTGATGCTTTAGTATCTTTAGTTGGCTTTAGTGAAAAAAATAATGCTGAGACTTTATAATCCCTCATTTAAAATAAATTGAAGCTCCACTCACTGCATGACTGTCATTGGTGTAACCATTGTTTAGGAAGGCAGCCTGTCAGCAGTGTTTTACCAACTCCCACCAAGAACCGTTGCATACTGTAAATATATTTTTTGTGTGTAACGTTACAATTCCACCAGCAGCATTTTATTTTTAGTTTAGATAATTATAACCCCTAAATTACTGCTGGTGCACAGATAATTATTAATAGTACACATTATCTGCTTTCTTTAGTAAAGTTAAAATTGTAGGGTCTCTTCCTTAACTGACCCACATACTGAAAGATAAAATAATGCAGTGCATACATGCTCAGAGCTCAGAGAAGGCCTTCCATGAAACAAAGTGAGGCTGCTGATGACCAGAATAGCAGTGGATGCCCTGTGCTTCCTTAGAGTGGCGTATCTAGGGTATGGCTCATGTCCTTGGTGCTAGACATGTGCGATTCATTGCCATTTTAGGGGAGACCGCACCCCCCCCATTTTGGGGGTGGGGTTCCCCTTTAAAATTCCTGCCAGACCTAAAGGGCTTGGTATCAGTTGAATGTATGTATGCATGTATGGCCGGCGTCCTGGCAACCGCTGGGTCGGTTGCCAGGGGCACAATTTTTTGAAGACACGACCTCCCTTCAAGTACCATTTAATAATTGTGCCGCCCATTTTGACTGAGTCCCACACTTCTTCACAGGCATGTCTATATGGTCTATGACAATATAAGGAAACTTTTGAAAATACTACCTGGAGCAACACCCCTTAGGGCTTGTGTGGTAGTGCATTTTGGTACACAAAACTTTCAGCATAAAGGGGCCCATTTGTAAGTGGAAAACATTTTTAATTAGTTGCCCTTTCTTCACAATAAATCAGCTGTAGAATACACATCAATCTGTGCTACAGCTTTTCACCATTATAATGGATGTAATATGCTACTCATATGCAGTGATCAATCTCTATAAGACAGTATTACAGATCAGCCACTCATCTGGCTCCTGTTGTAGTATTTGTTATGACATTGCTGTAATTAGTTATTTTGGCACAGATTTATGCAGTGTCTTCTGTAAGAAGTTCTCTGTGTTTCCTTGTAGCTGGGTCATTCTGATGAGCGGTTCTTTCTCCGTGACATCGCTCCATGTAAACGTACAAGCGCTTCTATAGACCGCTCAGGATACACCAAGGGGCACTGTTAGTCCTAGATACTAATGAGGGCTGTGGAAGTAGCAATTACCACTAATGCAGAACAGATGGGCCCAGATGACTTCTGCATCAGTTGATTTAAACAGTTTTGAACGTTGCTTTTATGTACTTGGAAGTAGTCCAAGGAGCGAGAACAATTGTCTTGTATTGTTGTATCCTAAGATGTTTGCTTGATGGAAAGTACAGTTTTGGGCTGTGCTATTGAGTGTGTTTTCTGCAGTACTCAGTTGTGTATAGTGGACGATCCAAACATAACCTCCCTTGTGTTACGCTGCTTTGTTTGGTGCCCACAGCCCAGCTTTCAGCTTCTGAGCCCTTTTTCCTACCCTTGCTTGCTCCCATTCTTTCAGACTTTTCTAAACAATGCTGATCCATCTCAATGATTCATTTTCAGTTCATTTCGAAATCTGGGGGATGGTGTAAGGAAGCCAACTGCTCACAAAAGAAGGTATCAAAATAACAATCCGTCTCTGTATGTATGTACTAACACTTTCTAAGGATCCACTTTGCCCCAATTACACAAGGTGAATTTGAGGGGAATGTAATTCCACAGCTCCACTTGACATAAGCTTTGATTATATAAACAGTCTGTATATTCTTATGTCACCTACGCCACTCTTTCTACTATTTGTTAAGAAGAATTTTAAGTCTTTCATTTTTAAATGATATCTAGCAGAGCTGTCACAGTAACTATTGGCTTGGCAGTAGTACTACGCTAGATTAATCTACATAACCTACATTGTGGAGAGTTCACTGAACAGCCATATAATAATATGGAGTGCCCACCTAGTTAATAGGATCAATCATTGCATCTTCAAAGGCTCAGTTCCCCAATATATTTAAACTCTATTTCTTATACTTTTCTCTGAATAATGATCAATTCAGAAACAAATATTACGTAGATATAGAATTATTATTGCATAAAATGGACATTCGTTGAAAACATTATTTATAAGATGTTATCTCATGTGGCTTCTTTTCCTGCCCTTCTCAATAGACACCTTACTGAAGCTCACATTTGTCACCAACCTAAAGCTGGCGGTATTTTACAGAGGGATAACTGATAATACTGGCAGCTTGACCTTAAAGTCATATTAAAGTCAAAATGTTTGTAAGCTCTTTCAAATGCTAATTCACTTACAATGGATGCTGCTCCTTGATGTTTAAAAGTTTGTTTCCTGTAGAATCAGCTGGTCCCCTGAGCACTGGCACTAATGTCCTGTGTGTTTTTGGAGGAACACATACAGTTTAATATTATGCACAAGGGTGGCTCCTTTCCCTTGCAGGGTCCTAGAGAGCCACCTTTGTGCGTAATAATAATAAGCTGTATGTGTGCCTCCACAAACACACAGGCATATCTTCAGCCCTCTCCTTCTTTCCTCCTTCCTTCTCCAAGTTGGTAGTGGGTAGTTGCTGGAGACTGTGCTCTCCCTTGTGATCCCGCACTGGACAGGAAGTTCAAGGAAGCTGAACTGGAGGCAGCTCTTCAGAAACATGCTTAGGCAAGAATTTAAAGAAATACTTTGCTGGGCAAAATATATTAGTTTGATCTGGATGCATTATTGGAAAAAGTTTGAGAGTTTACTACTACGTTAACAGTAAAAATACCTTAAAGCACCACCTGCAAAAGAAGAGTGTTTATAGTCTACTGTCTGGACACCTATTGCTCCAATCCCAGCCCTGTTTAAGAGTTTCAGCCTCTGGCAGAATCTTCCTATCCAGTACTTCTGGGAGAGTTGGATGCCTGCATCCCTCACAGTGGGCATTGGTTTCATCCACTGACCCCTAAATCACTACCGGTGTTAAGGAAGCAGACCCCATCCTTTAAAAAGTTTACCTGACTTGGGGTCCCTCCAGGTCCGACAAACTGCTACCTCATTGGCACTTCTGCTCGTTTGCCATGCCCAAGAGCAGGTTCTGTGTGAGGGTGAACAGCCAGTTGGGACCTATACCTCACACAGAAGCCACTCTTGTATATAGCCTAGAGTCAGAGAGACGGTGAATGTTTGACCCCAACAGACCCCACTTTAGAAGACATGAAATAATTTGGTGAGTCTTGATATTATTTTGAATGACCAGAGAAAGAAGTTTGAGACCTTAAGTCAGTGATTGACTTTAGGTACACTCTTATTGAAATCAGTAGTCAAGGCAACAGTGCAAAGATCTAGTTCAGAAGAAAGCCCCTCTAACATGCATTTAAAAACTTTACCTAGACAGAAATGTGAAAACGGTGAACGTACCTCAGAGGATGTAGTGACATGACATTAGGAGAAGGTTGTCTCCGTAGAACACTCAATAGTCATGGTGCCAGTTGGTAATAGGCTATCATTGAGCCTCAGTGGGTGGAAAGAAAGGCAAAAGATCTTAATATCATTGGAGGGTCCAGTTCTAGTGCATACACTCAGATGTGATGGCACCAGAAGTGGCAGAATGAAAGCAATGTTTGCAGTGCTACTACTACAGGCTGTAGAGACTGTTTCTCAGATCAGGAACAGTATTTAGTATTTCGTATGTTAAGATTGCTGGTTATAGAGCAATTATTTAGGGTCAGGCTCACATTTGTGCAGTAACATACACGTTAAAACATGCATTAGGTTAAAGCAGCCCACTCATATTAAAAGTCTGCCAATGCATCTAATCACAACAAAAACCACACCTTTTTCGGGAACGCAGCGCACTACTGTGTGCTGAAGTTCGCTCAGTGTGTTAAGGGTGCTTTTCAGATGAATGGCATTCTAGTTCACAAGCACATATAATATGCGTTACAGCAGAGCACTAGTGTAAGCCAGGCCTAAAAGGTAAGGCCTATTAAGTAGGGGTATAGATTACTACAGATGAAGAAAATATACTTGGTCCTCCATTTTAAGACGCCCATACACAGCATGACATAAGGCGGAATATATTGACAATCGTCAATGTGTATGGCCTACCTCAGCTGGTCCGTTTATCTGCTTAACTATTAAATCTCTATAATGTTTAATGAAATCATGCAATGTTGTATTCTATGATCTGCCATCCTCAAGGCTCTATATCAGTGCATGGTCTTCAGTTCTCTCACACACTCACAGGCACAATTTCTAGTCTTGTTCTTTTATGTTTAACTGTGGTAAACCTGCAATAATAGTGTCTAGAGGACAAGAGTTGCACCCCCTTAGTCATCCATGGTACCTTTTTGGCTTTGGGCAATTATTTTTCCCTTGGGAATCAGGAGAGGCCAGATTTAGCAGGATAATGGTTAAACTAACATACTGAAAAAAACTATGCAGAATAAAAAAAATACCTTTGCTAATAAATGCACTTTTGGAAGAGTTACCTTTGTGTAGAGTTGTTATGGCCTATGTCGATGGGCTCTCCCAGTTTTGGATGCTTCTGAGATTATTCAGAATTCATTGACAGGTGCATTATACCTGCAGTTGACTTCCTTCTGGTGTTTTTTTGCATGTGCATAGACTTGATAGGAATACAAAACCCAGTTGAAGGGAACAAGAAAACCACTTAACCCAGGCCCTTATTGTGACGCTACCGTACAGAAACAGTTCTTTTGATATAGGCTTCATTCCACTTCACACCAAGGTGTTGCTGCACGTTGGGGACAAAAAGTCCTGCATGGTACATTTAGGGTGGAGTGACCTAGTGTTTTGCCATCCAAATCAATGTATTTAGAGTCTTTCTAACATGCATGTTAACACACACTTAGGAACAGATACTTTTTGGTTTGAACAAGCCCATAGAAGCACATACTGGAGAATTTTGCCATTCATGTTGGATAAAAATGGTATTTGTCTTATGACCCTTTTTGGTTTTCACTTTCCTGCAGTGTTGCTTTGTGAATAAATAGCAATTTACCTATCTTTAGCTTTGTTTCCATTACATAATATGTTAACATGACCATTCTCCTCTCTCTTTCTGGTGGCTCTTCTCAGTTTGAGCTGGTGTCCCTCAACTGTACACTTAACTGCTGTGGGTGGTGAAATTAATTATAGAAGGTATAGTATCTGCAGGCAGGTAAAATGGTGGAATTGCATCATAACCTGCATAAGGTGCTTTTTCTTGTCCTTGGAGTGAATTCAATGGCTTTGCTACTGTTTGCAGTTTATCTGTTATACAATGGAAGGGGCCATTGTCTGGGCTAATGCAGTATTCGAGTTCACAAGCATATAAATACATCACTGAGGTGTACTTGGTCTATTGTATAACATCTCACAAAAAGAAAAGAAATTCTCTACTGGCCCTAACAATCTTTCTGCACAAATGACAGCTGATTGAGTCATGTCAGTAATAAGTCTCAATCATAAAGCAACCGGTGTGAATTATAGAGATGTATGCTGGTTGACCTCATACTGCTCCATTACATATAGATGGCTGATACACTGTAGAAGTACTTTGTTGCTCCATGATGGTCTTCTTCCTACAGTATAATATTTGCTAAATATGTATTGTCTGCTGTGTATATGTTCCGTAGTACTGTGCCCTTCCCCAAGCATTGCTCATAGTTTTGTTTTAAGCCATTGCTATAGTGCAGCTTGTGCTACTATTTGTTGAGTATATGCTTTGTGTGCAGATCTGAGCTTAATATTTAATTGTAATTTGTTAGCGGACACTTTGCTTTTTTTTGTGTTCTTTTACCATTTCCTTGCTTGACGCATTGACAACTTTTGAGTCAGTATGTAAAAGATCTGCTTTAGTATGGAGCTGATGAGGATTATTTTGCGGTCTATCAGGATGAACACATAATAGAATTAATATTACGAGCTTTTAAGTTTAAAGGGAAGTTAATGCCATAGCAAGATTGCTAATGCAATGTAAACTTCATTCATTTGTGCTATATTGGCCACTTATGGGTACACCACAGTTAACATTGGACATTTGTATTCAATTCACAACCTACCTATCATTGACTGGCTCTAGCTTTTATCCAGGCATTCATGTTGTGGAGGTAGCTGCTCTTCGAAGTCCATTCCTTATACTGGTATTTTCTGCATGACGCTCAGTCTAAGCCTGGAATGATGCAAGCCAGCCTGTTAACTTGTTCTAGCAGCTCCCAATATGAGTTCACTGCAGCCTTATATTTGTATTCATAACATTGATCAATTGAACTGGCTTTTATTTCAATCTAATTGCAATGTTTGGGGTATTATTAGTAGTTCTCTGATGGACTTTAGAGAACCTCCGCAGTTATTTTGTTTGAAATGAGATCAATCCACTGGTCTGCTTTTCTTTTCACTGTGACTTCGTACACATGCAATATCAAATACTGAGAATTCTTATTGTAGCTAACCTGCCTGCCTGCTATTTTCTAATATTGCTTTGTAACTGCTTCACAATAAACCTTTTGTCTTCATGTTGTGACCACTACTCTTTGGTCTCTATTCAGTTGCAGCTTGGAGGGTCTTGCTGGCAAAACCACCACCAGTCATGAGACTTCAACTGTTGTCTCTGGCAACCTGACTGCGCCATCATCATTTGAGAGAGAGGTTCGCAGTGGCTCTTCACTTTCTTTGACAGAGGAGAAAACAGAGTCTGATCAGAGAAGGAGCAGAGCTTCACACCATCAGGTAAGTTAATTCATAGAAATGCATAATATTTATATACTGTTGATTCGCAGCAAGGAATGCCCAGTCTTCTGTTATAATCTCCAAACTCATTTTAGTTTAAGAGACATGTTACGTCTTGTGGATTGGAACTGGTCTTCCTTTCTAGTGTAACTGTCAAATGATAGGCAGACATGTGGTTTGCTATGGACATCTCTAAAACTGTCCTCTTCTGTGACTGGAAAAGTGGACACATAGTATGAAAATAATGGAGAAAATATGTTGGCTTGTATATACAGTACTAACTATCCATTCTTCTTTTACAGGACCGTGAAAAGACGCCCTCTCGTGGGTTTGTTTACCCCAGTTCAGGATTTGCTCCTCACATGACAAAATCCATGTCACTAACCACTATCAGCAATCCCCTGGTGGAAAGTAAGTGCTTCATTGTATGCCCTCAATGTCCTGACGTGTTACTTTTAACTAGAGACACTCTTTTTTTTCAGGGGGTTATAAAATTGTTTCACAAAGCTGCTCTTTGCTGTAATAAACAACCAACAGTGATCTGGGAAAGAGAAGCCTTTGCTAATTGCTAGATTTTACTAGACAGACCCATGCAAATCAAATTAACACTGAATGTTATGCCTACTAACCTACCCATCTGAGGCATCCAGCATGCAAGGCTGGCTTTGTTCTGAAGATACAGTAGACATCTGTTCATCACAAGCATGTTTAATTTCCTTTCCTCTGACTTTTTTCTTCCAACACCCCCATCTCCACAACTGTCAATGTCACATTTGTTCTTGAATTCCTCCGTCTCTGGGGAGCTCCTCTGCTTCTCATGTGTTTTTTATTGTAAATTTGATATGAGTGCTGTACATTCCTCTATCGTGTAACAGGCTTTCAATCTGCTCTGTAATATTCAGATTGATTAATTTTCAGATTTTCAGACAGTTATTCATTATATAATAGTCTAGTATTATGATCAGATGTTGTAAAAATTGTATTGGGGTTTTCCCAACTTAAATCATTGAGGTTATTTTTATGTAGTTCTTGTCTCTCTGGCTGGGATAAATCAGTGCAGAGGAAACTTTAGTTCTATATGGCAAGCCTGTTATGCCTTCGTAGAAGGTTTCAGCACATACAAATAGAGTTGTATGTGCTTAAAATTAAAAATGTATTTTAAAATGTGTATGAAAGCCCCTGCGCATTGATGGTACAGCAACACTTTTAAAGGATAATTGCACTTAAGGAGAAGACTGAGTACCCCAGAAAAAGAACAACATTGTGTCCAGTGCCTGCAGCATGAAGAAATCTTTCAGTTCACTGCCTTTGTTTAAAGGAGAACTATGAGGTGAGTGCTTTTCACTCATCCTCATAGTTCTAGCCGACCTGTGATAATGAAAATGTCACAGGTTGGCTCAGTAGATCGGGAAGTGAGCAAACACATACCGGCGTTCACTCACTTCTCGATCCTGTTACGGCTCTCTGCCGTGACAGGGGAGGGACTGGATTCCCCTCTCCCCGCTCCGATCCTCCAGCGCTGACTGGCGGAGCGGATGGGGGGAGGGGGCGGGTACAGCTGGCTCTGCCTCTGGATAGGTAGAGCCAGCTGTCACTCACGCAGCTGGGCGGATCCAGACATAATTGTCGGGATCCGCTTCAGCTGCGGCACAGTGTTTGTGTTCTTTCTGCTTGACTGTGGTGTTTAGGGATGGTCAGACCATAGAGGAGGATGACAGTCTTCTTGTCACTATAACCAAATCTGCCCCCAGCTTAGGACTTACACCACATCCAAGTAAGGGAAAGAAGTTTTGGGGGTGATGAACCCTGCTCTGGTCCCAGGCAAAGAATCAGAGGGTTCCTTGGTGACTAGATATTATAGAATTTAAAGGTGGTTAGGCTATTTTTAGAGTGCGCTTCTTTAAAAGTAACCCTGTCATGATGGACATAAGGGAGCTGCCATTGGAAACCTCCTTATAAAAATGCAAGTTTTGACTGGCAGCTGCCCTGACCCTAAGTCTTCATTACTTTTAAAGTCTCTGACTTAGGAGCTTTTTTTATAAAGCCAATGAATATGACATTTACCAAACATTCAGAAGCGGTTAACCATTCCCTGTAATTTTAAAGCACTTACACCAGGAAAAATCTCCTGCACTGACAGGGTTATAAACAAAAGGGTGAAGACTTTGGGGAAGTGACCAATCTGGGGCAAAATATCTGATTTAGAAAAATTCTCCAGTTCAGCTACGTTGTCTGAGATTGTTCACTTCTTCTGTCTTCTCCAAACTCTTCATCCTTTTGTGAATAACCATGTGAATGTTTCCTAAATGTCACATTCACTGCTTTATAAATATGCTCCTAAAATGTAGTATACAGATCGGAAATTCAGAATGTCTTATGTGTTTGTAATGCTTGTTTGTTTTAAGTCGATGACAGGAAATATTCATCTAAAAGCATCAGCACAAAAGCATTTTTTCATCAAAAGAAAAAAATAGCAACCTCCATGTTTTTATCATGGCAAGTTTCTTTTGAATGCAAAAGGTCATTGCAAATTACTTTTATTTTCTGTTTTGCAACTTTAGGTCACTAAAGATGCAAAAGCGTCTGAACTATTGATGCATGTTTTAGAACTCCTTGTTTGTAAGACTTTGAAATCATTTTCTTTGGTGAAATTAAAAATTGCATTTTAAAACCGCCTTAGCTGTGTTTGCTAAAAGTGGTAATTTTAAAAGTCTGATTCTGGATTCACACCAATGCATCTGTGTTTTCCTGCAATGTTTAATTGTTTTGGGCATGTGCATTGACATGCACTACCATTCCTATCAAAAGCCCTTATGAACACATCAGTTGATCAAAAACACATATGAACTTTTTGGGATAACGCACATCAATGCATTGCGTGAATGACGCTAGCACCATCAAAGCGTATCTAAATCCAAAGTCGAAAAAGTAATACATTGCAGCTTACCAATTCTACCAATGTGGTGGCTGAATTTGTTGTCTTTTTAGGCTGTTTTCCTTTATCACCCGGTGATTCACCTTTCAACACACTTTCCTGTCTTAGAATGGCTTCACTCTATGGAGGAGCAACAAAGCCACCCTTGGACAGCAGTGTTGCCAACCTGTGGAGAGAGCATCTTGCTAGTCGGCCCTGCTGGCTGTCAAAAAACCTGAACAATCTGGATGCAGGCATTGTTCAGGTATTTTGATAGCCAGCTGGGCCGACCAGCAAGATACTGAAGCTTGGCCCAGTGGGGGGATTCCTCCATCCACAGTTTATCGTAGATGGAGGAATCTGTTGCATGTTTTCCATCTGGCCACTTTAGATGCACTAACAGGTTTTACATAAATGAATAAAAGCTGACCACTGTAAGCAACCCTTTCAGTGTTAAATGGTTTGTCCCAATGCTATATCTGCCACTTTTGATCGGAAAGCTTGCTCTGTTAAAGGACGTTGAAAAATAAAACACCATTTGGCAGGATCACCAGTTGAAAATAAAGGGGAAAAAAGCCTACAAAAGAAAAGCCTTAAAAAAAAAAAAGACTAATTGTGAAGCAGAATTCTATGTTTTCTGAAATTGCAATTAGATACCTCTCTAATATGTATATATCAAGCATGTCAAACTAGTGTTTTTGGACCACACATTGCCCTCAGCTGTTCAATGTAAATGAAAATGGGCCCCAGCTACAGGCTACAAAGACTTAATTAATTTTGTAAGTAAAGATAATGATGCTGAAAGTAGTATTAAACGCTCAAACCTTTTTTTCAATAATGAATCCAGATCAAACAAATATACATTGCCCAGCAAATTATTTATTTGTATTTTTTTATCAAGCTATTAGTCATCATGTTTCTGAACAGCTGGTTCCAAGTCTCTTAGCTCAGCTTCCCAGAGCTTCCTGTCCAGTGCAAGATAATAAGAAACAGCACACTCTCCAGCAGCTGTTCATCTACTAGCTTCTAGAAGGGTGGAGGGAAGAGAGGGGTGAGGTGGAGTAGCTTGATTTGCTGTTCCTGTGTGTTTGTGGAGACGCACAAAGCTTACTAGAACACACAAGGGTGTCTCCATACATCTCTGCTTGAGAAAGAAGCCACCCTAAAGCAGGATATCAGGACCAGTGCTCAGGGGCAGCTGATTCTGCAGGAAACTAAAACTTTTCAACATCAGGAAACAGCATCCATTGTAAGTGATTTCATCAGCATTCAGAATAGCTTAAAACCCTTTTGACTTTAATATCCCTTTAATGCTGCAATCTTTTTCTAGAATAAAGCAGGTGTTTTCCTCACCCCCTTGTCGATTTATTTCACTTAATTCAGCCCATTGTGAGGTTGACATGCCTGATCTATAGCATTATGGTAAACCCATGTATCCTAGATACATGATCTTTTTAGTAACTGGCACGTCAATCTGAAGTTGTGGATAGATCCAGATGAAGGATGATGTTCTTACAGTTGACATACATGTCTTAACTCAGCCTCCACCTTGCTTCTGCCTCCCTGCCTGTTTTTCTTTCTTGTTTGTATTTGCATGCTCTAACGTCTGCCGTTAACCCACTTCTCAGCCCAGACCCGGATACGACCAAAGAGGCGAATCTCCTTCTCCTTCAACATTTCTCCGCTTATTCCTAAGTCTAGGCATGTCTTTACTGTTGGTTCCTCATCCAGTGATGACGAGTCAGATAGTAAGTAAACGCTGCCACAACTGTATGTCCATCACTAGGATGTCCACTCTGGCATACACCGCCTTTCCTGCTTTGCCTGCTTATTTTGCTTTGTTCAGAAAGGTTGTTGGCTTTTGTCAATTGTCTCGTGCAATCATGGTGAACAATTTTGAATGTGTTGCGTCCACTAGCAATGTCTTCAAATGTAGGTAGTTATGTCTGTCTCCTTTTAATCTCCTGCATTGTAGAGGTGATCCAAACTGGCTGTAAATGCACACACAAGTAGACCCCTAGAATCTAACCACTCACGGTTTGGAGGTGATGGTTGATGCACATTGCAATATCATGACCATTTTAGTAACACCAGGATATTAAGTTATTGTTGGGAGAGACTTGATTGTGTTTCTAAGGTCATTTCATTTTTATTTTCAGGTTCACAGTCTTTAAATATCCCTAGAAATTCTCTGGCTCAAAGGTAAGTGTGCACAGTTTAGTAGAAGCTAATATTGGATATAAATCTTGCTGAACAAACATTTTACTCCCAATTAGTGAAACATTTGGCAATATGTTGCTATGCAGCCAATATGGTAGCTCACACTAAGGGGTCCATTTATAATCAATTTGCAGAGCCATTCACCCTGCAGATCTGTGTGAATGTTCATTCTATGTGAATAGAGGCAAAACAAACGTTCTTATTATTATTTATTTTCAGGTTGAATGTAATATACAGCATTATGGCCACTAGATGCAACTGAGGAGCATTGGAAATAAGGCCATAATTCGGACTATTACATTACATTGGACCTGAAAGTTTGCTTTTGCCTCTGTTAGCACAGAATGAACGTTCACAGGGCGAATGTCTCTACAAATTGTTTATAAATGGTCCTCTTACTGTATTTACTGATCCTTACAGTGACTACTTCTAAATTGAGTTATGATTTCCTAGGTAATTGGTGATCATCTCTTAGCATTGTCTCAAACAACCAAATGTAGACGTTTAGCCAAATAAAAACATACTATGTAATCTGTGGTATGTCTGTGCTTTAATGATATTGTACCACTGGTAGACCTACTGCCTCTACAACTAATACAAGTTGATGGTCTTTAGTTTTGTCATTATAATAAGATGCATTTTGATCATTGCTTCCTCTAATCATTCATTTATAGCTTTGCAAGTCTTTAGACTTTACTTCAGAAGGTGGTGAGCAATGGCAGTCTTTGTATTCCTCTCTGTAAGAGTTAATCAGGAGATTTTACTCAATATGTGTGAACACGCCCTGTACCTGGAGGCATTGTTTTCATATCTGCCATCATCACATTTTGAAGAGCATATGCCTGCATAAGATACAATTGAAAACTCAGACATTGTGTTCCAAATCTTTTAAAACTGAAAACAGCCCAGGGCACAATGTGCAATTCATTCATTGCTAATAGCAATAGCTTATAGCAGATGGTGCCCTTTAGGGTCAGCATAGAACAGTGCTCCTCCAACTTCCTTGTGGAAAGTATGTCTGTTGGAGGATCTCCATCACTGCACTGTTATTGCATTGTCTACCAGGACACAGGCTCTCATGGCACAGGTTTGCTCGGGTGATCAGAAGTGATGGAATAGATGACACCGTGCCATTTAATGCTCCTTTTATTCGAGTGATATCTGTCACAGAAACACCAAGAGTTGGGTAGAAGAGTCTTGTATCAATGTCCATGTGAAAAAATTCTAGTTCATTATTTGGAAACTGGAAATCGCCAGCAATCTAACAAGATATTGTTAGATTATTCTTAACCTTAATTTCCAGTGCTCTCTATCAGAAATGCATGCACAACCTGCAGCAGGTAATAGAAATTTGTTCAGCTTATAATTTAATAAAACACTTTCTGACACCCCTTTGAGATGTGACTTGTGTGCAGTTATGGGGTTAAGACACTAGTTCTTTAAATCTCCAGGCAAATATAAAAGCACCCGTTACTGTTTTTTTTGTTTTTTGTTTTTTTTGTTAAATAAGAAACCATTACATGTATTTTTAAATGCTACTAATGATATCAGTTACCTGTTATGTATAGCAGGGAGAGGTAAGATCAGCCATTGAGGCCCATCATGCTCTGCTGCTTGCACATGTGCTGACAGGGAATATGTAGACAGAAAGTGGAGAGTGAGAGGATGTATGACCTCATCAGCATGATGCTGCTTCTTCATTGCCCAATCAGCAGGCTGGGGGATGGTTTGATGGGTGCTTTTGACTAATAATAAGCTTGGGCTTGGTGGGAACTCGGTTTACCTGGGTTTGCCCAAGCCCTCTCAAAACTGTGACCGTCAAACACCCTCCCAACCCAATGTGTTGCGGCAGGTGCATTCTGACATGTAGCTGTGTGGCAGGGAATGCCCCTGCCACCACTGATTGATGAGGGGGGGGGGGAGGACGACAGTCAATCACTTCTGCAGTGCAAGATGAGGATTTGGCTGTGGCTTCCAGCACTGGTCTCTGATTCACCTGCAAAGAATTGCAATTCCTTTGGCAGGTTAACCATATGTATCTATATCTATATATGTATTTTAGCTGCAGTCTGGAGTTCAGGCTCAATATTTTAGTTAATCTTTCTACTCAGTACATTTTACAATTTAAGAGTCCTAATTATATGAATATACTGTTCTCTCTTAGCATACCAGAGGAGAGCTGTGATATCTTGCCTTTGAGTCCCTCCCAAAAAGACCTAGACCTGAAAGGTGGGACCAAAGTGAGCCGCACATTCAGCTATCTCCGGCACAAAATGTCTGGTAGCAAGAAAACCAAGGTGAGCGTTTTGTAACACTTAAACTGTGTGTCTTGTAGGTGAACTCATGTCTGTTAATTTAAAGTCGTAATCACAGTTTAAGATTGAACCGGGTAATCTGTAATAAAACTGCTGTAGGTTTTACTTACATTTTATTAAATATTTATATATATATATTTATTTAGGACCGGCAGTCATGTTTGCTTTTTTACATACACAGCCTCTTGCTTACTGCTTTGCTATAGAACTACTTTGCTTTAGGGCTTGTATACATGGTCTGCGCTGATCAATGCAGCACTAAAGCTTGCCATACACTGCTCTATTTTTTTCCTTTAACCCGTGGGCTTAACGAAAAAAAAAGGCATATTCCTTTTCTTTTGTATTCTGAGAGAGGCCACTGTCACAATACCCGAACCGAGCTGACACAAGAACATACACGTTCTAAGCACCATAACACACACCTGCTGGTGTGAACAGGCCCTTACTGCCCTCTCCCACAATGAAAGTCTTCTATTTGCTGATTAATTGAAAGCAACACTCTCCTTGTGGGACTGATCACTTATGTCCACAATTGTTACAGTTTCCTTTCAGGTGGTGTATCTTCACATCTACAATTTTAAAGTGGTATATATTTAGCTAAAATATATTTTCTCTGTTTTGGATCGAGTAGGGTATGGTATGGTTAAAACCATTGGCTAGCTTTTTCTGTCGGTTGCCTTATTCAGGAAGATGTTTTCCTCACTTCCCACACTCACTGGTGGTGAGATCATTATGAGGGTAATCAAAGGGAAATCACTCTTAGAAGGACACCATGGCACTAATGCATTTTTTATCAGTAGTAGGAAGGCTAGAACCTCCATTAGATTTTAATTGCTGTCTATGCCCCAATTGGAGATTTTCCCTTCCTGCCATTGTGACAAAGTTATCAGACAAAATAAGACAGATGTTACAGCCATTTTGCCAATTTTATCCAAATCTATACAGATTTAGGGTCAATAGATGCTTTAATTTACTAATAATAGTGCAAGTATTTAAAATGTGATGGTCAGTTCCCAAATTACATGCCATAAAACACTGCCATAACAACTCTATGTACTGTGAAACTACTATGTATACTTATAGTACTTTACTTTTACTTTGCCATAAACCAGGTGGATACTCTGCGAACATTTGCTATAAGAAATGAGTATAAAGTGGAAGCCCTGTTGTAGGATGCTAGCACACTTCGGTGTGCATTGAGTCAGTCACAGGACTCGCTTAGATTCTGCTGCAAAACATTGTTGTGCACCCTTCAGAAAACCAGTCCACAATGAAGGAGGTCATACTACCCATAGCAGCCACAGCTCGCTTGAGAGCAACCTACCCTTTGACCGGTTATTACAAGCATCATACCAGAGCTGTTGAAATAATTCATGGATAGTTGTCTATTGTTATATGTTAAATAGAGAGAATGCTATATAGTGTGCCTATAGAGATGTGGGAAGGGCATACAAATCTCATTCACATGATCCCCCTGGAAAGAATTTAACTTTTGTTACGTAGTATTTGAGGTTGGATAAACACAAGTCCATCAAGTTAAACCTTTTGTGTGTTTGTGCATATGAGTCCCTGTGTGGTTTAGTATTTAAGAGTACCTGTACCCCTGTATGTCATGTTCTAACGATGAAGGTATCTAAATTATTTTTGAATGATTCAATACTCTCTGCTGATACCACTGGAGAGATGTTCCAAAATCTAACCACTCAAACTGAAAAGAATCCCCTACACCCTTTGTGGTTAAATCTTTTCTCCACCAATTTTAGGTGCTAGCCTCTATTTTTTTTTTTTTTAGGGAGGTTACAGTAAAACGTTTATTGCTGATGTTGCGATCACCACCAAACATTTTGTACATCAAAATCATGTCCCCTCTTAGGGCCCGTTCACACCAGATGCAGTGCGTTCCGGCCCGATTCTGGCCAGAATGTGCAGGGCACCGTAGCCACGCCCTCCGGCCGCAATGCGATCGGCCGCATGGGATCGCAAGGCACATTATGCTGCGGTCTGGTCCGGTGTGGTCAAAATAGTGCTTGCAGCATTTTGATCGCAACGGACCGGACCGCAGGCATAATGTGCCTTGCGATCCTGTGCGGCCCGAGGGTGTGGCTACGGTGCCATTCACTTCAATGGCCTGCCACGCCCCCTCCTGCCCCATAAAAAAAGTGAGCCGACCGCAATGCAAGGCAGTGCGTTCTGGCTAGAATCGCGCCGGAACACACTGCATCTGGTGTGAACGGGCCAATAATCGCCTCACTTCCAGCGTGAACAAGTTTAAATATAGCAACCCTGCCTCATAGCTTTGGGCCTCCAGCTCCTTAATTAGTTTAGTTGTCCTTCTATCCATGTACACACCATGTCATCTATGCCCATAGATTTCAGCTTGTGTATTAAGCATTTATATGGTACCGTGTCAAAAGCTTTGGCAAAATCCAGGTACACCAAATCAACTGGCCTTCCTCCATCCAGATCTCTACTCACCTCTTCGTAGAATGTTAGTAGGTTAGTCTGACAATTTGCTCTGGAATTTAAAGCTGTCCATACACACATTTTTTTCACATTCAAACTGCTCAATACAAAATTCAATAGATGTGTGGACCTACCAGCACAACATTGCTTGACAAATATTAATCAATCGACTTTTGTCGAATGAGGTGGGTGGAAAGTTGTCTGAAAATTGTCTGAAAGTCTAAATATTTGTGCTCCGGTCCACTTTACAGACATGACCGGATTTGGGTGAGGCAGACGCGCCCTTACATCTGGCCACCCAGAGTAATTACATGGGTTCAGTTTTCCTCCATCACAAGGAGAGAAAATCGGAAAATACACGGATGGCACATATGTTACATTTCTCTATGTTCTGATCCCTTAATAAATTGGCCTCATTATCTAGTACCTATTTAGATATGAACTATACGCAGTCCCTGTATCATCGCAGTGTAGAATAGATATGCTTTCTGAATATTTTGAACATATTTAGCTCCACTGTCGCTCTCTGTACATACAGAAATAGTTGGACACTGTCTTGCCACTTTTCCATAATTTTTTAAATCATTATTGACATTGGTGGCTGTGTCAAGGTGCATGGTGCAGCACTAATATTGTGATATGAGAAGTACAGCATCACGTTGCCTCCCCACGCCTTCACAAACATTGTTAGAGGAATATGGAAGGATGTTGAGTACGGACATGTTGTCGTGTTTGTTTGATCTTGCCACAGATGGTGATTATGCAAGCCGAGCCAGTTCTCTTTTTGTGTAAAATAGCACAAGAAGCTTTCCTCCGGCAGCAGAGTTTAAAAACAAATTCACTGAGCAGGGGAAAAAAATCTGCCTCCTGTGTGTTTCACCATACTCCGAAGCATACTAAATATATAGAAGCAGATATATGAAATTGGGAAACAAGACACATGTGTACTGGTCAGGAAGGGCGGCACTGGAGATCTTTCTTTTCCCTTGGTTTTAAAGGACTACTGGCGTAAAAATGAATGAATTTTAATAACATTTAGTGTTCAATGTATGTAGTTATAGGTGCTTTAGCAGTTGCAACAACAGTAATAAAAAGAAATGAAATGTGGATGAATCAAAGGTGACAATTGGAAGCATGCCTTCCATTTATGTAGTTCCTCCTGACCATTGTCACCTTTGCTGGACAGCTTGGCATGCAAATTAATATACAGAAGGAAATATACCTAAAGAATGGAAAGCAGCCATATTTGTTCATTAAACTACATTCACATCAGCCTCCTGCGATTAGGTTATTTAAATGCAGGAGACTTCTGGGAAGTATACAAAAAAAAAACTTAGGTCAAGTTCTTTATGTGTGTTTCCACGCATTTACATGTGTATCCACACATTTACATGAACTTCAGAGTATCTAATCTACCCCTGGATGCACAGAGTTCTATTTTCTCTAAATGCAGCTAAACAATATGTGCCTAGACACAGGTAAACCCGCAATGTGAATGATACATTTTGGAAATGTCCTATAAACACCTATTATCTCAGGTCTGTGAATGTCCCTATAAATGAGGCCTCAGATTCACAGTCTCCACTACCTGTTGTCAGTGCTACACTATACTTGTGCTTTACTGCTTCCCTCGCACAATGCAAGTCTATGAGTCAGTAGACATTCTTGGCACTCCAGCTGCGGTAAAACTATATTTCCTATCATGCCTCTGCTTCTAGGATACAAATCTGTGCCTGAGAGTCTTGCAATGTCTCATGAGATTTGTAGTTACACCATAGCTGGCGTTGGTGAAATATAGGGATTTATTTGGAGTAATTCAGATTCAAATTTTTATATAGCAATGCACTGAGTGACCCGTCAAATATATCTACATTTTTATATAGCACAGCTGGAGTGCCAAGGTTGCCTACCCAGCTCCAGTGGCTAAACTACACACACACACATCTTGATATTCATTGCTGTAATAAAAAATATGCAAGAGCAAGGATGCAAAGATGCAAAAGACACATAAAAATACATTTTCGGTAAACAATGCAATAACTCAAAATTACTTCACAAACTGATGTCCAAAGCATACCTCAAATGCGTATATAGTAGCCCAAAAAGCCCATTCACACGAGTGTGTACATCTATACGCTGTGCACGCCCTTGCAGAGACCTGCTCCTAGGAGGGACAGGTGCAGAATGTAATTGCTTGCACCATCCTGTATGGCTACACTCTGACCTGTTTGTGTCCAAATGCATCCACATGGATTTTCAAGTTTGGGTCAGTGTGTAGCAGTGTCCTACCATGGGGATGTACAGGTGGCTGCACGCAATTACATGTTGCACCTTTGCCTTCTGGGAGCAGGTCTCTGCACACGCGTTCACAATGTACGTATATGCATGCATGTGTGAATGAGCCCTGATACAAGCTGAAGTATGTGGTATGATAGAAACTGGCACTAATGTTGTTCTTTTATTTAGGAAAAATATGGAGGTGCCAGCAATGGGGTTGCTGCTTTTCATGTACAATAGGGGAGTTTTTTCCCCAAAGGATCTTTGACAATTCAAATGACACCGAAAGATCAAACCATGATCTTGTCCTAACCATGTCCTCTCTCAGCTCTGCGGACTCAGGAGGTTTGCACGCTGTTGTTGCACATATTGTCCTTGGTCACATAGTGTTAAATGATCCCATGTGCAGAATAAAAGGAAATTGGCACAGGTGTACACGATTTCCAGGCCTCTTCACAGAATCACAGGTGAAGTGGAAAAAAAGGATACTTATACAGGGACTGAAAGATTAAGGATGTTTAGGCTTCCTTTAAACAACTGGAATAAGGGAAAAGTGCCTGAAGGTTTGTTTTTTCCTTTAGCCTTGTTAATCCACAATGACAGGAAGTTTGACAGATGAGCTTCGGGAGGCTTTGCTTTTGTCTATGAGCATGCTGTGCCATGTCAGATGTGATTTGCTCTGTTTAGCTTTCAGAATGCAAAGACCTGTAAATGCAAGATAGATATACATTACATAGCCCTCACTCCAATAGTCATTTAGACTAAACTATACTTTAGTGTTTTCAGTAAGTGCACATTTGTGCTTCATGTTTACATAATAATGGCCTTTACATTATCTTCCACATTTGTACTTGGTTGCTATTCTCTTAATTGAATCTTTGTATTTCATGTACAGATTTGCAGTGCTCCCTCTAGTGTACATTTGTATGTTAGCGAGTATAATTCTATTTTCTGATTAGGGGCCTGTTCACATGAGTTTCAAGTCCGGATCAGGTGCGGATCAGCAGACGCCGTGCTATGTTTTTGGGCGCGTTTTTTAAGCATTCTAGTTAAAAAAATATATATATTTTTTTTTTGCTGGAGTGGGGCTGTCAGAATGTTAGCTGCAGTGCAGTGCATTTTTTCCGTTTTGCGTATTAATGTACCTTAACTATTAACAAAAATGTATCTTATTTGTGAGTCACTCGGCTGTAGATCTTCAAATCATCTCTGAATTGGTGTTACACCGTCCTTCCTTCTGGAGGGTGGCTACTTTTGTTCCCCATGGTCCCTGTGTGTGTTGTAAAGTAGTCACCGCTCCAAGCTCTCTCCTGTGATGGACTACAATCTCAATACAAATAAGTAAACTAAACATGAGATTGTAGTCCATCAGAGGAGGGAGCTTGGGGCGGTGGCTACTTTACAACGCACACAGGGACCATGGGGAACAAAATTCAGAGTTGATTTGAAGATCTACAGCCGAGTGACTCACATTTTTGTTAATAGTTAAGGTACATTAATACATGTTTGAGTTAATTCCTGAGTTTAGTGTCACTTTAAGGGAATGTTATAATTTTAGTTTTGTATAGAGTGGGGGAAGGGTTAAGACCACTATTGGGTTTTCAAAGCTGTCTGTAATGGAGAGGTTTTCCCTCATTTCCTTTTTTTTTCCTGTACATTGAGGTCCGTTGACAACTTCTTCAAAATTAATAGGCTGCCTAATGCAATGTGCCTCGGTGCACAAAACTACGTGTTGGGCGGTGAGAACGCCGGCTCTGCTGCTTTGTTGACTCTTTCTTCTGAGTGTGCAAAGGAGTCACCATTGTGTGCGTTCTCCAGGCTTCCATACACAGCTTCACATTGCCTAGAGTGGCAAGCTACTCTTCCTCCTCCTCCTGTGCCCTCCACTGCCCATGCCGCTCTGTCCTAACTTTGTCTTCCGTGTGCGCCCTCCACTACCGAGAAGCTCTGCACCCAGTTGTGAGTCACGAAGAATGGGTGGTTTTGTAAGAGTTTGGCCACACTCGGGCATTTACATGTATTATGACATGTTACAATACTTGCTAGCAGTGAATTAAATTAAAGTGTTTAGTACCACTTTAAGATGGAACATATTTTTGTATATATATCCAAAAATCTATAAAAAGACTGCAGTTTCCTTTTAACCCTCCAAGGAACATTCAGGCTACATCTATGAAATGACTCATATTTTCTAGTTCCGTTTATTTTCCTATTTGTATTCCTAATGACACGGTTAACCCAAGGGATGATCCCAGCTATCTTATGAAGTAGGCAGTAGAGACTTTAAAAGCAATGACCAACCACAATTACTCAGTTCTGCCTGCTTCATAGGACAGGAAGTTGAGGGTTGTGTTTTGCTCTGAGCCAAGTAATAATACAAACTTGCCTGTTAGGTGAATCAGAACATCTCTTCTCCTGCCATCCTACAACTGAAATTGAAAGAAATAGTTAGAAAATGTCAGCAAGTACCAAGCATGGTTGAGATTATTAGCCATAACTCTGGCTCCATAAGCAAGGTAGAGCAGTCTCCATACACATTGTGCAGGCTATGCGTAAGGCAGTTTCAGCCCGCTTTAAAATGCATTGTTTGGGTTTGGTATTTGGTCTTTAGGATACGCTGAAGTGGTATGGTAGAGCAGGCATTTTTATATTAATTATCCTTTCCCTTTAGATAGGCAGGATCATCCCTTTGGGGGGGTCATCATGGTAAATCCCTGGAAAGTCTGATGCATTGTTTGATTGTGTTTATCTTTCCATCAGCCAGCCACCATTTTTAAAGGTCCATATTTTGGGTTGATCACCTGTTAACACTGTCTACTGCTGTTGCTTGATAAAGCCTTTTAATTGTGTAAACCTCAAAAAATGAGCACAGTTGTGGTTTGAGTAAAAGCAGAAGTAAACTTTTTCTTGACTTCCGCCCTTGACTTTATTGTCTCGCCTCTTCCACATGAACAGTATTAAGCTTCAGCTGCCTGTCATGTCGGCACACCTATAGTGCCCACTTTCTGTCATTTGTATTGGTATTCTCAAGAGCAGAATGCCGTGGGGTAAATTTATTGAAGTGCCGCTGATTACAATAAAGCATGTAGGATCCAGACGTGGTCAGGTAAGGTCATAACCAAAAATTTGTCTTGGGTTCATTATTTTCATTTACTTTGTTTTAAGATGACTTTTAAAACTTTGCATAGAGCTTTAATGGTAACCTATGTCTACTGTTCAGCTGTATAGAAATATTAGGAACATTTGGAGCACAGCCCCGTCAGTCCCAAACACTATTTTGTTATCAGAATTTCAGAACCTCTACATTATAGTTGTATATGGGCTAACATCCACATTTTGAAATGTCTTCGACAGTTGAATGTTTGTTATTCCAGATCACAGCTTTCTTTTTGTTTCTATTCCCTGTGTATTAAACTGACTAGATGACTGAGCGACCATATTGCCAGTTTTATTTAAAGCAGACATGTTTACCTTGTGAAAACATTAAAACTGAAATATAGGCAGAAATAGAAGACGCACATTAATGCAGAACTGTATTCATGAATAAACCATACAAGTCTCTGAGCTGTATGTGCATGATGATCTACTTTGTCTTGTTTGACAAGTTGTGTTTTTTGTAAGCTTTTTTTTTCAAAAGTTTTTTTTTTTTTTAGGGGGGGAAGCGGGGATTGTGGAAAGGACGCCAGTGGATATCCTTATTGCAACGCGTGTCATACACTTGACTGTACTGTGTGGTAGAGCTGTGTAAATGTGGAGACTGGGTGGATAGAAATACCAATAGTTTGGCCACTAAAATTGCCACCTTATATATAGTTCATTGCATCCTCAGCAATGCCCATTTCAGGCATATCTGCTTTTTAGATGATCCCTCACTTTTCCCCATTAACCGTACCCTACTCTTAAGTCTTGTTCACACCATGTCCATTGAACTGTTTTTCTGCACATTACCGCACATGTAAAGCAATTGTTTTCTATGTGTCCTGTTCAGACCATACGTGTGCATTGGTGTGCAGAAAAACTCAGTTCACCTGTTTAGAAGAAATCCTTAGCCCTTGCAAATTGCTTGTCCGAGCCAGGCAAATGGAATGCTCATTTTTTCATTCACACATTGATTTCCTTCCCAGAACAAATGATGAAAATATCACATTATCCATTTTGCTAGTGACTGCTGATTCTGTATATTTTACATTTTTTATACCTGGTTCTTTAATGTTTGCAGGAACAGTTTTACCACACTCCTGCATGCCACATAGACAATGAGTTATTTGCAAGATATTTTATAATTAAACAGAAAAGATCAAACCCCCTTTAAGCTTCATTATTTGTAGTGTTTCCTCACCAGCATTGTGATAAATCTCTAAGAAAATCATTTTTTATTTTTAGGAAAAAGAGAGAGACAAAGATAAGACAAAAGAAAAAGAAAAGGAACCCAAAGAAAAAGACAAAGATAAGAAGACAATCAATGGGCACGTGTTCAGCTCTACACCTGTCGTTGGTCCGTTTAGTTGCAACCACTGTACGAAAAGCTTCAATAAGGATGGTTATATTTGTACAAGTAAGTGCTCCTGAGTCTATGCATCTATACTGTATGGCCTCTTAATGAGTTAGTCTATAGCTTGGTTATTGTTTCGCTTAAAGGAAGTGATTGCTTAATGTACTCGTTTGCATTTCTGCTTTATAAAAGTGGAAAAAAACTCACACTTTTTTATATCTCCTTTTAAATCTCTCATCTGGATACACTGCACTGTGTGCTCTGTGCTTTTTGTAATAAGCAGTGATAATATAAGATGGCATTGGCAGGATTCTCTGCTCCTCATGTGCGGAGACTGTAATTTGCAGGGAAACGGCTAAACACAAAGTACTGTATGATGGACAGTGTCAGAGTTCTCTGTAGACGATATATTATAGCTGACATCTTCAAGCTGCATGACAACAATATGTATGATACAATGTTATGTTCGTGGTAGTGATTCAGACAAAAGATAAATTGACTGTCTGTACATATTGTAAGATGTAAGGTATGACTGGGGTTATGCAATCGTGTACTCCAGGTGTATTTTTAGTCCTGAATAATTTGTTGGGTGTTGGTAATATCTAAATTCTTTTAGGTTACAGAATTCCTGTGGGGAGTGGAATGACAGCGATATTGAATGTTGGATACAGGGGATGTTCTGGTTATTTTTTAGGCCTACTGCTAAATTACTATTTCTCGTTTGACTTATAAAATGGTAGCACCTGTCACACAGTTGCAAAGGAAGCACTTGGCTTCTCTATAAAATGTATATGTTATGTTATGTTGAGATATTGGGTTTCAGCAAACTTTGACTCTGCCACTTTTTTATGAATTGTTTCTTCTAATGTCAAATACCCACTAAGGTCTGTTTAAAAGCCAGTTAGCTTACCTAGCTGTTCTTTAGGTCCCAACACGTTCTGTCCTAGGAAAACAACACTGCCCAAATATAGATACAGTACAGCAAACAAGTGTTTTCATGTTAGGACAGGAAGTGTGTTACTGGCAGGATCACCAGGTAAAAATAAAGGATAGGAAAGCCTGAAAAGACAACTATTGCAGTCATCACATCTAAAACTGGCCATACACTGTAATATTTTCTTTGTTCAACCCGGTGGCTGTCAGGATACCCAAACAGAGCTGGCAGCTCATTGGCTTTTTATTATGCAGCCAAGTGCACACGCATGCGCACTACCGCTAACTTGTTGAAATCTCCTGCTGGCCAATCAACAGAAGTGACACAGTTGGAGATCTCGACGTGTTGGCTGTTTTGACAGAACACTGGTTTATCAAGAACTGGCTGAAATTCGTATAGTTTATGGCCAGCTTCAGGACTGGTGAGTAGTGATGAGACTGTGCTTGTTGCAAACTCTGTTCATTTGAGTTCGCCCAAGCCCGTTTAAAACAATGACTGCTACCCTCTCCTCCCAACCCAATCAGTGGCAAGGAGGTTCAGTAACTGCCCTGCAGTTATACCTCACAAAGGGACAGGGAATGCCCTCACTGAAAATGCTGCCACAGATTGTGTCAAGAGGAGGGAGTGTTGTGGTGATCAGAGCTTTGAGTGAGCATGGCCGATCTCAGGTGATCTGAATTCCAACCAAGCCCAGCCTCATCTCTACTGATGAACTGCAATATGTTATATTTTTGTTCTTGCGTTTAAATACACTTAATGTCAGTGCTTCTTTGTAATTCAGAAGTATCTGGAACTACTTGTGGATAAGTGTTTTTAGAAAAGGATGCTCCTAACTTCCTGTTTGTATAAAATAGGCATCCTGCTTTAGAAATTGTTTATTATACGGTTAATTAGTCAGAGAGCATTGCAAAATGTTTCTAATTCTGGATTTGATGTTGAAAGCCCCCCCCCCACTTCACTTGAATGATGAGGTTCTGTAGTGTGGCGCTAGGAAATCCCTGGGCTGCTTTCTGTGGAATCATCTGCATTCCATTCTGTGTATACATATCACTTCACCTGGTGCTCCTCCTTCCTTAAGCATTTATGTAGTGTGTACATACAGTACAAGTAGTTGGCACTGGAAGTCTAAATAGCACCTGCCATACTGCACTTAGCTCCAGGGACGGTGGCAGTGATCTACACTACCAATGCAGCTTCTTCATGTCTACACAACGAGTAAGTGATGAAATAGTCTTATAATCTGGTAAAGACCTTATAAGAATGTCCAACTAAACAATTAATTGGTTTAAGAGGATGGTGTTCTTTTTAGCGTGTTTGTGTTATCCTTTTTGCAATAGCTTTCAGTTTAATGATTACAATCTGAACTTAGACTTGGATCTGGTTGTGTTTCTTGAAGACTGATAAGGTTTCACACTTTTTAAACTAGCAGTAAAAGACACTGTTTAATACCTTACTAGCAGGTGCTGTGTGTTAGGTGTTCAAGAGGAGCTTTGTGTGAGAGGAAGTTGTTTATCAGTGGAGCACAAAAGGCATTTCTGTATGATGACGGAGCACAGAAGGCATTTTTCTGAGGAAACAAGTTCATATTCATCTAGAAAATAAGGCAGTGTATATGGGAGGCTTCAAAGTAGAAACATGCAGTAAAGGAATGGCAGAATTCAAAGGTAGGAAGAACCAGAGTCATGTCTTCTGCAGATGTATTATTTAGCTTTGACTGTTCTTGGGATTTACTTCTTGGGAGTGCTAAAATGCCTAAAGGCTTGGAGGGCAAACTTGTTCTATAATGTGGTGCACAAAAGAGCAGCAATATATATATATATTTTTTTTTAGCTGTTACATGCTGCATACCAAAGCAACATATCTTCTCTGTAGACTAAATATCTCTTACTATGCTAGCACTTCATTAGTCTTGGCATAATTTTGATGAACTGTTAAGTTCTTAGCAGAGTTTTGTTCCCCATGGTCCCTGTGTGTGTTGTAAAGTAACCACCACTCCAAGCTCGCTCCTGTGATAGACTACAATCTCATGTTTATTTTACGAATTGAGATGATAGTCAATCATGGGAGTCTGCTTGGAGCGGTGGCTACTTTACAACATACACAGGGACCATGGGTAACAAAAGAAGCCACCCTCCAGAAGGAAGGACAGTGTCAGCACCAATTCATAGTTTATTTGAGGATCTACAGCCGAGTGATATAAAAATAAGCTACATTTTTGTAAATAGTTAAGGTACTTGAATGCATTTTTAATATTTAACTCCTGAGTTTTTAGTGTCACTTTAATCTCGGAGAATAGAAAGCAGATTGTTATGGATCGGCTTGCATTTGTCCCAGCAAACTGCAGTCATACAGGTTGGTAGACAGAAATATTAGTGAGAACTTTACCATGGGGTTGATTTCAGTCTGTTCAGAATTAATTGCACTTACTATCAAATCATAGCTGGAAATGATGTAGTTGCTTGGTTTGTGTACACAATGTATATCATGAGTCAGATCTGAGGGGGAGGCTTAGAAAGGAACTGTTTAGCTAGAAGACCTGTGTTACAACATAGCCATGTCTTAGTCTTACCATAACCTGATGCAAGTCTGAAAGTGTCTTAAAGACACCCAGAACTTAAAAATGGTTTTCTAAATTGTGTTTTTAAAATGTGTATAATGGACACTGCCCATTTTTCTGTCCTTTTTGATCGAAGCATTCCCTTTTATGCCGGTCTACATATTGGCCCCATTTTTTGTTCTTGGATGTTAAGGCCTTTTCCATATACAGTATATTATCCCATATCCCCATTATATGCCATATGTTCATGCTCTGGTCCAAGCTGTTGTATTAGATTATTGTGCCTCAGGAAGGCAGATGACAGGACTCTAAACCACACAGCAGTGGGGCTTGTCCATGAAGGTATCTAAAATCAGTCTTGCTAACAGTTTTAGGAAAGAAAGCATGAGGGTATTGTTTCAAAACTAAATTGTTAGTTTGTTCTTCCTTACAGAATGATTTAATTCGCTGTCACTAGCGGTGCCTGTACTTGAAGTGCTTTGTGGTACTTTCAGATACATTGTGTACTAGTCTAATTACTGTGTCATATGTTGCTACTGTACATTCAGTGACTCAAGTTCAGGGTGTTGCCTTAAAAATACAAAAGTGTATCCTTCACAGGCTGGCATGGCTCGTGTTTATATGTCAAACAAACCCTAAGGGAAATACTCATAATTAGCCAGCTAATAGTCACTTAGGAGGCATGATGGTGTCTGATGCACTACTGAGCTATCTGTAGTTGTTTAACAGGCTGTAATAACTGCTAGAAAAGTGCAATTCTTATGTATGTTGTCCATGACAATACTTATTATTACTAAATTATAACAATAAAGACAGCCTTAAACCGAAGACAATAAGTAACAATACTAAAAATACTAGCATAGGAAGCACAGGCATGACAATGGGATTGTAATTTGTGTACAAGTATTGGACCCCTGTTACTTTTCTGTGTTTCCAAGAGCCATGCTCAACTCATGGAGCTCCAGTTTTATAAATGGTAGATTGAATATTGTAAACTAGTACTACATTGCTGTTCAGCTCCATCACAGTTTTATTGTATAAGCTGTGTTATGTCCATTTACTACTTTTCAGATGTTTATTATCAAAGCTTTGTATACGTGCTATAATATGCACCAGATTAGGTCTAAAATGTTAACTGTTGAAAAATAGAATGAAAAACGTAGAAATCAAGATATGAGGACAGACACAGTGTGGTAAACAAGTTAAGGAGACTGAACTTGCTGCAGTTTATTAACCTTGGAAAGAGCAGTGTCTTGCACTTACCCATTGCAGTAGGGCACCATCCACACCAGATCTGTTGCGTTGCAATCTGTTTTTTAACAGATGCTAACGCAAGAGCTCCAAAAAATGAATAGGTGTGAATGGGACCAGTTCTCACTGCTGTGTTCTGTTCTGTGCCATTGCAGCGCGATGAAAAAATTAGAGCTCTACTTTTTTACAGCGCAACAGAACAGAATATAAAGGGATGTCATTTCAACGGAACAAATGAAAA